TCAAATGAGGTGGGATCATCCTCCATTTGAAATTTCTTAGTGTTGTATACTTCATAGTCAGCAGGAATAACTGATTTTCTAACTCTTTGAGACCTTCTAGGGGCCTCCACATTTGGTACATCTTCTGTTTGAGGCTGTTGTTGCTCCCCCTCGTGTGTGGCAATAGGTTCTACAGGATCCTGAAGAACAGGTTCCTCATCGTCATTCATTGTTGCCATAGGCGGAATAACAATAGGTGCTGGCACCACAGTATCTTGCACTGTCGGTGCAGCGATAGCAGGTAGTGAGAAAAATGGCTCATGAATCATCGGAGTGGGCGCATACACCCGCTTCTCTTCAATGTCAATTTCTCGAGCTACCATGCTCTCCCTCATCATTTCATCCTCTAGGAAGACAACGTGTCTCGTTTTCCACAAACTTTGTATGCCTGTCTGGACAGTAGATATGAAAACCTTTTGACTTTTCTGGGTAGCCAATGAAATGGTAACTTACTATTTTGGGATCTAGCTTCCCAATGTTTGGGTTAAATACTTTAGCCTCAGCAGGACTCCCCCACACACGTAAGTGGTTTAGTGAGGATACTCTTCCTGTCCACAACTCATACGGTGTTTTGGGCATCGACTTACTTGGTACTCTATTGAGAATATAAATGACGATTTTTAACGCCTCCATCTATAGGCTCAACGGTAAGGTGGAGTAACCATATCCATCAGGGTACGATTGCGTCTTTCAGCTACTCTATTATGCTGAGGTTCGCTCGGTGTAGAATATTAGGCTACTATGCCATTCTCCTATAAGAACCTTGCAAAAGGTACAGGAACTTGGCCATATGGGATATGCCGACCGTAGTACTCCCCCCACGGTTGGACCTGACTATCTTAATCTTTAAATTGTGTTGGTTTTCAACTTCTGTCTTAAATATCTTAAATTTATCCAATGCTTCTGTTCTTTCTTTGATTGAATAAATGTAGCCATAACGGGAGTAATCATCTATGAATGTTATGAATGAATCATAACCATCCACACTCTTTACAGGAAACGGACCACATATGTCTGTGTGAATAATCTATAAAATTCATGCGCTTCGTTTGGCATCTTTTTTAATTTTCTTTACATACTTTCCTTTTATGCATTCTTTGCATTGTTCTAAATCTAAGAACTCTAATGGAGGAAAAATATCATTCTTAACTAGTCTTTCTATTCTTCCCCTTGAAATATGGCCTAAACGACAGTGCCATAATTTCGACGATGCATCGTGAGCTCTCTTTCGTTTTCTGTTTACATCCGTAGATGAAGATACATTCTCATTGTCGCACGCAACATTCCCATCATCGCATACAACATTCACATCATCACATAGTGATAACAAATAAAGCTCATTTTGTAAGATAGCAAGACCAACACATGCATTATTAAATGTTATCTTACATTTGTCATTTCTAAAATAGCAATCATATCCATCATTGTCCAAACATGAAACACTAATAAAGTTTCTCTGTAAAGAGGAAACATAAAGTACATCTCTAAGTAAAAGTGTGAAGCCATCAGCAAGCTCTAGAGAAAGATCGCCAACGGCTTCAATATCTGCTCGGACTCCATTTGCAACTTTAACGTGTCTTTCTCTTCTTTGCGTAGTCCTCGTCGAATGAAATCCCTGTAAAGAATTAGCAATATAAACAGTTGCACCTGAGTCAATCCACCAAGTAGATTTCGAATACTGTACATACATGGATTCATTTATGAACGTAATAATGTTCTCACCTTTCTTTGCCATGATCATCTTTAAGTAATTGGGACAATCTTTCTTATATTGTCTCGTCTTCTTGCAATAGAGACACTGGTCTTTCTCTACTGTGAACTTGTTCTGCTGAGGCTGATGCAGCATGGGATCCTTTTCCTTTGACTTTGAGGAGGAGTTAGCATTATTATTCTTTTTCTTGTTGGCTTTCACATAATTGATAGTGCCACCATTGGTAGCTTTTATTCTCTCCTCTTGCACACACATAGCCATGAGCCTCTTTAAGTTCCACTTCTCGGGCTGTATGTTGTAGTTGATAACAAAAGTGTCAAATTCCTTTGGCAAGGAAGAAAAAATCAGATGGATAAGGAACTCTTCCTTGAGAGCTAGATCCATTAGTTTTAGCCTGGATGCTAAATTACTCATCCTTAGTATGTGCTCTCTTATGCCACTATTTTCATAGTACCTCTCTGTCACCAGCTGCTTTATCAGCTGGGTAGCATATGTCTTTGAAGAGCAAGTGAATTGACTCTTTATTCTATCGAGGTACTCGGTGACTGTGTCATACTTTGGGATTGAGCCCACAATTATAGGCTCAATCGTGTTCTTTATCACAGCTAAACATTTCTTATTGGCAGTGACCCACTTTCTATGCTCAAGATCATAGGACATATTTTAGGATTCAAAATCCCTGTCTCTAGTTGCCCAAGCGACATCAGCCTCATTTGTCTTCCTCACTGGTGCCACAGGCTCAGTGGGACACGATGAGGTGACTATCCAGCCCACCTCAGCCAAGATGAAGGCCAGATCAATCTTTTTCTTCCACTCCGTGTAGTTGTCACCTTTGAGAGTGGGAATCTCTTTGATACAACCCATCAAGTTGTATCCGCCTAAAAACACAATTCATATAGAGTGAGAACATAAATAATAACAACAATTGCATGCCTTGATTCCAACGTTGATCAAAATTAAAAAATACAACTGTTTATACATTAAATCTACATCACCGTTGGGCAGAAATAAAAATAATGCATAAAATCATTAAAATTACGATATTGTTATTAACAACGTTGGTCAGAAAATAGCAACATCATAATCATCTCAAAATCTCTTTTTCTCCAATTAAATATCACGTTGATTCAAAATAACTGGAGAATAAACTATTTCTTTAGCAGCGGAAAACTTAAACTTAATTTGTGAATTTTACCCATAGAGAAATTCTCTTTTACTAATTTTCTTTGAGCCATTAATCATTTTCAAGGAAATAATGATTTATTGGAAAAAGAAAAGGAAAAATGGACTCAAATCAACACTGTTCCTTTGACCCAACCAAGAAATCGGCCCGGCCTACCTTGCGTGTGCGCACGGCTCCCTCCTAGGCCACAACCTGGGCCTGGGCCGGGAAAGCGGCTCGCTCGCTCACGCCCGCCTGGGCCGGTCTCCGGCCCATGGATTCTGCACCGTCGATGCAGATCGGACGGCCGAGCACACGCTTCGGAGGATTAAAAATGGCGACGCGGCGCCGGCTCCCAAAACCCTAGCTCACTTCTCTTCGCCCTTTCTCTCTCTTAGTCCAGCGAGCGACAGAGCGCAGCCGAGAGCTCAAAGCGCGACGCTTGGGAGTTCCGTGGCACCCTCGCACACGCTAGCGGCGGCTGCCGGAGCAGCAGCACCATCGAGTGGCACCACGGTGGTGCCCTTTGGCCCAAGCCCGAGGTGGAGATCGTGCGGTGGCGCTTCTCCAGCCCCGGCGGCCGAGGTTGACTTCCCGCGCGGTGTCCTCGCGACGTCCGGCGGTGGAGATGGAGTGAGCGGACCCTAGGTAGGAGCTCCTGACCCTTGTCCATTCACTCTCTTCCCCTTTCTCATCATGAGTTAGGGATAGGGTTTCGTTAGGAAAGCCGCCTTGCTAGCTCTTCCCCTTTCCCCTTCTTCTCTTTTGGATTTTGTTTCTTTTCTTTTCGGAGTTGAACCGATTTGGGGTTGGAGTTAGGGTTTGGGTTACTGTTCTTCTTCCCCGAGATGATTTCACGGGTTAGTGTTCGGCTTTGAGATCCTTTCCAAAAAAACCGACACCCTTTCTCTTCTATGTACTTCACCCGATTAGGGTTATCTACCAGCGGCCGTCGGTCTAGCTCAGTGCGAGCTGCCTCCCTGCCCTTTGCCCTTTCCCCATCTCTGTCTTTAGATCTTGTTGTGTTCTTCTCGGTTCTTTGCCGATTGGGGATTAGGGTTAGGGTTAGGGTTTTGTTAGGGTTAGGATTAACCCGATTCGTTTTTCATTCACCCGATCTAGATTTAAAAGCCCTAGAAGACCTGGCTCCGATACCATTGTTGAGATCGAAAGGATCATCTAGGGTTAAGTCTAGTGGGTTATCTTTACTGTGAATGCGATATCGAGAGTAGAGAGACAGAGAGGAATAGAAGAAGAACGTGTCGAACCTGACACCGTAGAGGGAGATGGTCTAGAAGCCGCCATCTCGTTCGTCGGTGAAGTCTGCGCACGGACAGCGACGTTCGGGGAAGAGGTCAATGAAGTCGTCGACGTCGGTGGAGCGGGGTGGCGTGGCTGGTGGCTTCCTATCACTGGTTGCGCCCCTCTCTGATCGGGATTAGGGTTTAGGTTTCGGTGGGGAGCTCGGCTCAGGCGAACCTCATACTCAGAGCCGCCGGCCCCCACCTCTATATATAGCGTCAGTGTGACAGGGACCCTCCAGCCATAATGGGCTGGGCGCCCTCAATCAAGGCGCAGATTAAAGGCCCAACTAAGCCGTTGGGCCCTAATTTGGGATTAGAGATCAATCTAACAGCGTGCAGTGCATCGCATTACAGTCGCAGTCTTCAAATGACTGGTCCGGGCTCCGGCACAACCAAACGATGAAACAATGGCCGGACTCTTTACAATCTTGGTACCTTGATCCCCTCAAATGTAGGGATGGAATACCTCCTGATTTCGGGAATTCAAGGAAAAAAGGAAACAAAAGGTAAACGGGATTTTGCGCGAGATGTTAAGCTAGAGGAATGGCAATAAAGTTCTCGCCCAATTCTTGGAACCGAATTAAACACAATCGCTTACGTTAGCGTCCGGCCGGGCCGGGTACTTAAGTCACCTGCACCGTTGCGTTGTGAGCCTCCTGTGACCGACGAGACGATAGGGTGGCCATGGCTCGTCTTCTCCTGCGTCGACGCGTGCTCGTGGTGGCGTTCCTCTTCCTCCTCGTCGCGTGCTCCTCCTCCTGCTGCCGTGGAGACGCGGTGGTGGATGGTGGACGGCATCACGGCCATCTACAACTTCGGGGACTCGATAACGGACACGGGCAACCTCATCCGCGAAGGCGCCACCGGCATGCTGCGCTACATCGGCAGGCTTCCCTACGGCATCGATTTGCACGGCCCGACCGTCCGCTGCTCCAACGGATACCTCATGATCGATTTCCTAGGTACGCCGCCGGCCGGTTTGGTTTGGTCTTTTTTTTGTTGCATGATACTATCGTGATTTCAATGATTCGATCGTATGTGCAGCGAAATATGTTGGCCTTCCTCTCCTCAACCCATACCTCGACAAGGCGGCGGACTTCACGCACGGCGTGAACTTCGCCGTCGCCGGAGCCACCGCGCTCGACACGACGACGCTCGCCGAGAGAGGGGTCACCATCGCCATCACCAACAGCTCCCTCGACGTCCAGCTCGCGTGGTTCAAGGACTTCATGGCCTTCGCCACGAACTCTAGTCAAGGCACGTCATTGATCAGCTCTTTTTGTAGTAACGGTTTGCATGCGTCACATCCGTCAATTCCTGTGATCCGATCCATGCATATATAGAGATCCGAAGGAAGCTAGCGAGCTCACTGGTGATGCTGGAGATTGGTGGAAACGACTTCAACTACGCCTTCCAACAGCAACAGACCCGGCCATCCGACGGCGGATATGGCCTCGGCAACGTCACCCGTATAGTGGAAACTCTACAACAGGCCGGGGCGCTTGTGCCTCCAGTCGTGCAATCCATTTCGAACGCAGCAGAGGTACGTACGCATCTCGATTCCATCATCCATGACAAAACTAAACTTGATGCTTCTGTTAAGTTCCAAATTTTCGATCATTTTTCACCAATTCTCGTGTACGTCCCAAACTCCCAATCACCTCACTTGATCAGGAGCTGCTGGAGATGGGTGCGGTCCGGGTGGTGATCGCCGGCAACTTCCCGATCGGGTGCGTGCCGGTGTACATCGCCGGGGCGAACGTGACGGAGCCGGCCGCGTACGACGCGGACGGCTGCCTGGCCGTCCTCAACGCGTTCGCGGAGCTGTACAACGCGCGGCTGCGGGGCGCCGTCGCGGCGCTTCAGCGGGCGCACCCGCGCGCCGTGGTCGCGTACGCGGACTACTTCGCGGCGTACGCCTGGGTGCTCCGCGAGGCGCGCGCGCGCGGGTTCGACCCGGCGAGGACGCGCACGGCGTGCTGCGGGGCCGCGGACGCCGCGTACGGCTTCGACGAGAGCAGGTTCTGCGGGGCGCCCGGGACGGCCGTGTGCGCGGACCGGGACCGGTACGTGAGCTGGGACGGCGTGCACCCGACGCAGCACGCGTACGGGGAGATGGCCGAGCTGCTCTACCGCGGGGGGCTCGCGTACCCGCCGCCGATCAAGTGGCCGGCGGGGCAGAAGATGCCGGGGTCGACGAGCGTGCCCTTGAATTGATGGCATGCGTTCGTGGTGTGTACCGTGTGTGTGTGTGTGCGCGCGCGCGCGTGCTTCGATAATCTAGTCGTGTGTGTGTGTGTGTTTGCTTCGATAATCTAGTCATGTTTGGTGCAAATGTTATGCTGGTGTCCTTCAATACAAAACGCAGTTACGGGATACTCCTATATATACAGGTTCCGGGACCGCCGGAACTGGAATCTCGTTCTCCTTTGTCGCATTTCGAAGGGCTTTGGTTAGGGCTCATGGAGGGTGCCAGGATTGGTCGAGCCGCGTTTGGTTGGCATCCGAACCGCGCCGCAGTATCGACGCACGTTTGGATCGCTCCGGCCGGCATTGCCGTGGCCTCGCAACTGCATGCCAGTTTAGTTTGCGCGCCAGAGCTTGCCAAATGTGTGGCGACCACATCGAGCGCCGTAGTTTTGGTGCCGCCTGCGTTGCGGCTCGGCGAGCGGAGGCGTCAACCAAACGCGACGTTGGATCTTATTTTTTTCGACTTTCGAGTCCTTGCCTTGGAGCTCCGCTAAGCAGCCGTATAAATCCCACATTGAACGTCTTGCGTTGATGTCTGACCATTTGGTAAGCAAGGGCCTGTATGATTCTATGCCAATAGAAGCCAAGCTAAAGTTTGACCTACCGTAAAATTTCTGCCCGTCATAAGCAAAGTGTTAGGAACCGAGATAACTGAATAGAGTTTGGGAGGGAAACGTAGCAAGAATTTGAGGAAGAACAGATGGAAACACGGCAGGATTCCGTGGGTAAGGGGATTTGGGATTCGGTTATGAATTCTGTTCCTCGATGATTCGTTACAGAGGAGGCGGGCGCCGTTTATACTCCACGGTTGCACCGACACACACACACCACTCTAGCCCATATACACGAGGCCCAACACAAGAGACGGCCCAAGGCCCAGTACTCCTAACATCTCCCCCTGCTTAAGCGAAAGCTTGTCCTCAAGCTTTGATCAGCATATCACACTTCCTAAAGCTGGAGGCCGCTGGGAATAAGCGACGCATCCTCCCAGGTTGCCAACTCGGATGGAAATCCATCCCACTGAATGAGCAGCTATGGAACAATCTTGGCACCGCGTAGAATGGAGCGGCGCTCGAGGACCTTTTGAGGTAGCCCGGCCTGTGTAGGATCAGAGCATACAGAGGCTAAATCGGCACTTACTGAAGTAGCTGGAGGTACCTGCATCTTGAGCTGTGACACATGAACGACGGGATGGATTTTAGAGCCTGCAGGTAAGTCCAGCTTGTATGCAACTTGCCCCACTCGCTGTATATCTTGAACGGGCCATAGAATCTGAATGACAATTTGTGATTGGATCTGCTGGCAACCGATGACTGAACAAACGGCTGAAGCTTAAGGAACACAGAATCACCCACTTTGAATTCCCGCTCAGTTCTGTGCTTGTCAGCCTGAGATTTCATTCGCTGTTGTGCTCTCAACAACTGCTGCTTGATCAACTGAGAAAGGAGTTCCCGATTAGTGAGCCACTGTTCCAAATCCGGCACACTGCATAGCTGAAGATTTGCCACACCCAGTTGTCTAGGGGTATATCCATATAACACTTCAAAGGGTGACTTGCCAAGAGCTGAATGGACAGAGGTATTATACCAAAACTCCGCAACAGAGATCCACTTACTCCACTGCCGAGGACAGGAGTGAACCGTGCATCGAAGGAACCCTTCAACACATTGATTCAGACGTTCAGTTTGACCATCTGTCTGCGGATGGTAGGAAGAGCTCATCATTAACTTGGTATCTGACAGTTTGAACAGTTGTTGCCAAACTGCACTAGTGAACACAAGGTCTCTATCTGATATAATTGTCTTGGGCAGACCATGAAGCTTGTACACATTGTTCATAAAGATCTGAGCAATATGCAGGGCAGTGTATGGGTGCTTGATGGAGATGAAGTGGCCATATTTTGTAAATTTGTCAATGACCACAAGTAAGGCATTGTACTGATCAGACTGGGGCAATCCCTCCACAAAGTCAAGGCTGACAATTTCCCATGCCTGTTGAGGTATTGGCAATGGTTGTAACAGTCCAGGGGTTTTGATTCTTTCAGTTTCACTTGCTGACATATTTGACACTGTCTGACAAAATCTTGAACTGTTTGCTTCAAATTTGGCCAAGCAAATAACTGTCTCACTCTAGCATAAGTAGCACTGATCCCTGAGTGGCCTCCCACACCACTGTCATGGAGAGCAATTAATATGTGCTATTGTTTCCAACCCAAATCCAGGAGCAAGAGCTAACTCCCTCACTAACTGTTTGGCTTGCTCATCATCTTCATAGCCTTCCTTGAGCTTTTGCACCCAGGTTGGAATGCATTCAGAGACAGCTTGGATCTCATCCTCATGGTCTACTCTGGACAGAGCATCAGCAGCAGCATTGTTGGTACCCTTCTTATACTAAATAGTGTATTGCAGGTCCATCAACTTAATCATTGCCTTCTGTTGCAGTTTAGTTGCCAATCTTTGTTCAGTAAGGTGCTGCAGACTCCTATGATCTGTCCTAATGATGAAGGGCTGATGTTGAAGATAGGATCTCCGTTTATCAATTGCAAGCAGTATAGCCATACATTCTTTCTCATACACTGATAATGCCTGATTTCTTGGACCCAAGGCTTTGCTGAAATAAGCTATAGGATGTTGCTCCTGCATGAGTACTGCTCCAATGCCAAGGTCACTAGCATCTGTTTCAACAACAAATTGTTTGGAGAAGTCTGGGACTGCCAACACAGGAGCTGTAATCAACTGGTGCTTGAGTGTCCTGAAAGCCTCATCAGCTGTTGTTGTCCAAGTGAACTGTGCATTTTTCTTCAGAAGGTCAGTGAGTGGCCTGCTTATTAACCCATAGTTCTTGATGAATTTTCTGTAATAACCAGTGAGCCCCAAAAAACCCCTCAACTGCTTAACTGTTTTTGGAGTTGGCCAAATGCTCACTGTCTGAATCTTTGACTGATCAATTGCCACACCCTCTGCAAATATTACATGTCCCAAGTATTCCATAGTGTTGGTGGCAAATGAGCATTTAGATTTCTTAATCAAAAACTGGTGTTGCTTCAGTATTTCAAACACCTTCATAAGCAAGGATACATGCTCATCCAAAGACTTGGAATATATGAGAATATCATTCATGAATACAAGAACCCCCTTCCTTAGTAATTCAGCAAAGATGACATTCATAAAACTCTGGAAGGTAGCTGGTGCATTAGTGAGCCCAAAGGGCATCACCAGAAACTCAAATAGCCTATTATGTGTCCTGAATGCAATTTTGTATTCCTCACCAGCAGCCATACATATTTGGTGATACCCAGATCTGAAGTCCAGTTTGGTAAACCATCTAGAGCCAGCCAACTCATCTAACAGTTCATCTACTACAGGCATTGGATGTTTGTGTTTGACAGTGATTGCATTCAAATGCCTATAGTCTATACAAAATCTCCATGTACCATCCTTTTTTCTGACCAGCAGAACAGGAGAAGCAAAAGAACTAGTACTGGGTTTGATCACTCCCTGTGAAAGCATTTGTTTTCAACTGCTTCTCAATTCCTGTTTTCTGGATTGGGGAATATCTATATGGTCTGACTTTCACAGGTTGAGCTCCAGGTATGAGTGGGATTTTATGATCAGCACTTGTTGGTGGTGGTAAGCCTGAAGGTTCAGCAAACAAGGCATCATATTTAGTTAATAGTTCAGCCACACTGTCAGGTATCTTCTCTGCAGAATCATTCTGTGACTGCTCTGAATCCACTGAATGTACAGAAGAGGCACCCGGTACAATCATCTGGATACAATGTGACACAGCTCCATGTGTTTAATAGACCTTTGAGCTTATGAGCACTGACAGGTTTGCATTCCTTGGTATTATCAGTCACTCCTTGTAGCTTGACTGGTTTGCCTTCCACAGAAAATTGCAGAGTTTTGAGCTTGTAATCAATCAACAATGGACTGAAATCCTCTAACCAATCTTCACCAAGGATGAGGTCATAGCACTTGAGTGGTAGCACTCTGGCATCAGACTCAAAAGTATGGCCCTGGACAAACCACTGGAGATGTGGCACCCTCTGATCACACAGCATGACACCCTCATCAGCAGCTCTAAAAGGAGTAGCCTCACATGGTACTGTATGTAGCTGAAGATGGTTAACCAGGGTTTCACTGACAAAAGTACCCACGCTGCCTGAATCAACAGGAATCAGCACCTGATGTTTGCCAATTTGTGCCAACAACTTCAGAGTTTGTCTATTAGTACGCTGAGCTGCAGGTACTGACTGAACTGCCAACACTTCTTGAGTGGATTCAGACACGTCTTCATCACTGGTGTCATCTTCCTGTGGATCGACAATATCCAATGCATCCAGTATCTCTTCTAGGACATGCAGAGAGATTGAGCGGGGCACTTGTGGGCTGGACTCCATTTCTCGCCACACTTGAAACATAAGACGTTGCGGCGTCTGAAAGATTTCAGGCTTGCCAACTTGTCATCACCCTCAGACTTCTGTTTAGTATTACCAGATTTGGCACTATCTTGCTTGGCCCGAGGCACCCCTCTGGTGAAATCCCGCCCAGAGGTCTTAGCACGACAACTCTCAGCCTCCTGCTCCTGAATCAAAGCAAGCGCACTCGCAGTATCTACATCCTCGACCGATGGAGCAAGATTGCAGACCTGATATCTTCACGGAGACCGCTGATGAACTGAGTGACGAGGATAGTATCATCAATCACCGGGTTGTACAGCAGAATCCCGTGTGCCAGCTTCTCGAACTCAGTATGGTACTCAAGCACAGATGAGGTTTGCTTCAGAGCATCCAATTGACGCAGCAGCACCTGGTAGCGATCCTTGTCAAACTTGGCGAGTACCATCTTCGCAAGCTTCTCCCATTCCACAATTCATCCTCGGCGCTGTACGGTCTGGAGCCACGCGGCAGCCGCTCCCTTGAAATTGAGCGCCGCGAATCTTGTCTTCATCGGCTCTTGCACGAC